GGCCTTGGGCTGTCCTCTAATGCTTTTCCAGGCCACAAGAAAGCACCTGGATGTTCCCATCCTACAGGACACAAACTGCTGCCCATATGGGATCCCAGTGCATGCAAGGCGAGGAAGCTAGCCGCTAGGCCACTGCACTCTCCTCAGGAATTGGCTTTTCATATGCCAGTTAAATGTTTTTATCACAATAGATGCGGACAAAGCACTTGATAGAATACAAAACCACTTTATGATTAAAAAAAAACTTTAGGAATAAAGGGAACATACTTGAACATAATAAATACTATATATAACAAGCCCACAGCTAGCATTATACTGAGTGGGGGGAAAGCTGGAAACATTGCTCAGCCACTCAGTACATTTCTGGAAGTTTTATCCAGAACCATCAGGCAAGAGAAAGAAAGGGGATACAATTTGGAAATGACGAAACAAAATCATCCCTGTTTGCAGATGACATGATTCTATCAGTAGAGAACCAAAACACTTCACCCCAGAGACTATTAGAACTTATTGGAGAATTCACAATATTTATAGAATGGAAAACCGGCACCAAAAATCACCAGCATTCTTATACATAAATTTGTTTGGTGAGAGAGGATGTGTAAAACAGCCCCATTCATAATAGTTACAAAAAAGTCAAATACCTTGGAAACAATTTATCCAAGGTAGTGACAGACCTCTATCATGATTGCAAACCACAAGTGAATAAAAAGGCAGGAAACGGTGTAAACCATCGTGTTCATTGATTCAAAGATTATAATGAACATGTCCATGCTGTCCAAAGCAGTTTAGAAAGTGCATGCAATCCCCATGAAAATACCAATGACATATTTCACAGAGCTAGAAATAGCTAAAAAAAAAAAAAATCTTGGAAAAGAAAAAAAATAACAAAGAGGGATCACAATACCCATATTTTAAGAGCTAATACTGGGCTATTACCTAAGTTTACAGTCTTTCAGCCTCTCGCAACACGTTGTTTGAGGACACAGTGAGCCTTGTGGTGCAGCGGGTAAGAGCTGGCCCAGATCTTTCTGTGCACATTTGGGAGCCATTAAGTATTTTCTTGTTGAAATAAATGAAAGGTGATATTTATGCAGGTATGCAAATGGTCACCGGTGTCAGGAACAGCTTGAGCTTACCTGTTAGCATGTATAGATAGCTACCCAATATATGATGAGACAGTAACTTTTGGTCTTATAAAAACAGCCTATTGCTCTCTAATACCTAATTCTCAAATTGTGTCTGTCTCGTTCATGCATTTATGGGTCGGCTGGACTTTTGCTCTAGCTTAGGTCTGCTTGAACCCAGCTTGTGAGCTGAGTCCTGGTGCAAGAAGCTCTCATCTTCCCTGGGCCTGTAGGCTACATAAATCATGTGCTTCTTCGCCATAGAAGTGCAAGGGCACCAACTGACACTCAGTAACATTGCAGGCGTCTACTCATGTCCTGTCTGCTTGCATTCTATTGTCCAATGCAGCCCACATGAACAAGTCCAAATTCCTAGGCCAATGAAATGCACCTCTCGCAAATCTGGGCAACTCTACTGTCCATTGGTAGCTTTCCACTTGCTGCATTTGGAGCAGGCCAGTCACACTGGCTTTTGAGCATCTATATTTGCTGTTCCCTCTGTCTAGAGCATTTCTCCCCAAAGGAGTGATTCCCAGACTTTCCCTTACTCTTGGCTCACCCTCTCTGTGGAGTCTTTATCATTATCTGACATGCCTATGTCACATGTTTATTTATTTAACCTATGTACCTCCATGAGATTTTTAATTGCCTATAGGTAGGGGGTGCTGTTGGTTTATTGCTATAACCCCAGCACCCAGAATGGCACCTGACATATAGCTAGCTTTGGAAAAATGTTTCCATAATAAGTAAATGGTACTGGTTTTAAATTTCTATGACTCTTTTTAAAAGTATTTAAAGATTCTAGCTCCGTAGCAGATAGCACAATGGGGTTACTTCAACTAGAGGTTTCATTTAGTTGTTTTAACTTCTCCAGTGTGTAACCTAATGGAAAATATTAGACATTTCAAATTTCTTATTTAATTCACCTCATGCATACAGATGATAAATCTGATTTCACTTCAAAAGATGAGTTAGGGGCAGGTATTGTGACACAGAGGGCTAATCTGCTTTTTGGGATACCTCTATCCCTTATCTTAGTGCCAGATTCAAGACCCACTCTGATTCCAACCTACTTTCCTGCTAATGTTTTCTGGGAGACAGCTGGTAATTGGGTGATTGCATGAAGTGACTGGGTTCCTGCCACCCACTTGGGAAGCCTGGATGGAGTTCTAGGCTCCTGGCTTCAGGTTGGCCCAGCTCTAGCAATTGTGCACATTTGGGGAGTTAGCCAGCTGAAGGGCGTTATTTCTCTCATTCACTCTGTCACTGTGCCTTTCAAGAAGATGAATATAGAGAGTTTACATATAAAGTGTCTACATATATATGATACATTATGTGCTGGCGCTATGGGATTGTGGGCAATGCTGCCAATCGTGATGAATCTCATATGGGTGCCAGTTCAAATCCTGCCTGTTCAGCTTCCAGTTCAGCTCTCTGTTAAGAACATGGGAAAGGACAAAGATGGCCCAAGTGTTTGGGTCCATACCAAACACATAGGAGACTCAAATTAAGCTAGCCATTGCAGCCATTTGGAGAGAAAACCAATGGAGGGAAGTTCTGTCTTTAAAAAATAACTTTAAAAAAAATCTGTTGGAACCATCTTAAGAAATATTAAAAATAGTAAAAAGCAAGATTGCTGCTTTCTGTTTACGTAGCCCTAGGATGTAATAGGCGCTTAGGAATGTCTGCATGGACATAGTGACCACTGATCTCAACGCTTTCCATGAAAGGAACACAATTTTACATTTGTACTTGGACACTCATATTTCAGTCTCCCAGATCATAGGTTATATAGAAAGCTGAACTTGGAGGACATTGTTAGGCTCATATTTTATAATTGGATCTTTCAAATAATTCAGGGGCAGAAATGGCAAAACACTTCATTGAACTGTGTCTAAATCTTAACCCGGTGCAACTGAGTTCCTAGAGCTCCACTAAGATAAAATTAAGCTGTCAGAAATATTAACATCGATCCTCGAGTGTCCCTGTTGGTTTTGATTTATTCTGCAACACATGCTGTGACTATACTGGACATACTGCCATTAAAAATGCTTGTTGCCCAATTTAGCAGAAATTTGCATCAGTAATGGACCGGAGGTGGAATCAGGCCTGCAGTATCAGGCCCCCGGTGGTGTTTTATGCATTCCATCTTTACCAGAAAATGCAGGTTTCAAACTGCAGGGAAATAGGGATAAAGAAAATACTAAATTTTACTTTGTCTTTCCAAAAAGCATAAATGTGTGTGTGAAGAGAGATTGAGTGACTGACGGAATGATTGTAACTCTTCCTTTTCTACTTGGTGACCCTAATTATTCAGCATTTATTTCCTGCCCTTGGGATTTCAAGGGGATTTCCTGTGTTATGTTGGCATGAGACTCAGAGATCCAGAGGCTTCTTGTCTTCCCTGTGATCCTCGCCATACATTCTAATGAGCCTCACATCCACTTAGGATATTTGAATAGTTAGCTTTGACATGAATGATCCTTTTATTTTATGCTTGAAACTGCCAGCATGAAATGTACCCATAAAGACAGGACTGTGATCATTAATGGAATGCCCAGTGCCATAGACTAAAGAAAATGGTAGGCAGGTGTAAAGTCATTTACAAGTTCCTTGTGAGCTTAATATTGTCCTTTAAAGCAGGTTTATTATCGTTGACTTGCTGAAACAAGGCTTTGTTTTAAACAGAAGTGATAATGTGCTGGATAAATAGAGCTTGAAAAGAAGTTATTTTCACTAATGGAAGATTGCTATAAAAAATTAATTTCAAAGGACAGGTTCAAATTAATTTTGTTTATGCTAAGAAACTTCCCTCCCTCATGGCAATACCACTTGAGATATATTTCCTTTCATTCTGGGTTTGCTTATTTGAGAGGAGGGAAGGAAGAAACTCAAACTAGCTTCCTTTCCCATCCACTGGTTCACTCTCCTAAATGCCCCAGCAAACAGAACTAGACGGGCACAAAGCCAGCAGCCATGAAGGCAAGTCTCCTGTGTGGATGGCAGGAGGCCAACTACCTCAAGCATCACTTCCTAGGGGCTGTGTCAGTAGGAAACCAGAGTGGGGAGATGAACATAGCTGCTCCGGTACAGGGCACAGATGTGTTAGCTACTAGCTCAAAATCCTACCCCAAAAGGTTTGTTTCTTCACTATGTTGATAAACTAGAGAAGCAGACCCTCACAGTCTGTAAGAATAGCTCATCCATAGCTAAATTTTCTTGCTCCCAAATCATCATTTCCTCCTCACATAAACACACTTTTAGAACAAGTATCCCTTCTATAAAACCTCCAAATAGCATCATGATAAATTAAATTGTATTGAGTAACAAAGAAGGAAGAAACATTACCCTCCTGCATACCCTGGATCTACAGTACTTAGAATGTGAATATTTTATAACCTCTATAGGTCACATATGAATTTTTCTAGTGCCATGGAATTTTTTGTAAGCACTTGAGTTCTGTTTTGTCTCTTTCGCTAAATGTCAAGGGAAAGTGAGAAAAAAAAATGTATTGGTGTCTACTCCCTTCTTCCCTTTGTGAAGTTTATTTAAAATGTTATATTCTTATATCCTTTTGTATTGAGGAAACACATAAATGTGCAATGGTTGGTTTATACAGAAACAAGTTTCACATTTGTTTACATAAAAAAAAGACTTGTCAGTCTTATCATAATCTAACTTTTTTTCTCAGATCAATGATGATAATTTACCATGTGGGATTCTTTCCTTTAGGGAAATGTTCCCTAACTATTAAGCTTTGTGAAGTTTTAAAAATCTGTTATTTGTGAGCAAGTACAATGAATTGATGCTGGTGACCATGGCCCTTTTCTCAAATACGTTTTACTTAATGTATTTGTGTTTACTTTCCTTAAGGTGAGGAAGATCTTCTCAGTCCTCCCCAGGACACAAGCACAGGGTTAGAAGAGGTGATGGAGCAACTTAACAACTCCTTCCCTAGCTCAAGAGGTAAGTTCCAGTATGTAGAAAGGACTTCCTGGGATTAGGCAGATGCTTCCATAGCCAGCTGTGGGCATAGTCTCCAAATGGAAGTCAACAGCTGCCGAGATGCTATAAATTTGGGACCGTGGTTAGAAAACTAAAGACTGACTTTCTGGTGTAGGCTATGTTGAATTCCATTAATGTTAAGTCACTTCACCCCCGTTACTTTTGAATTTGTGTCCTCCATGAAAACAACATTTACCCTACTGAATTTCCCCAGCATTTATGTAGGTTTATTGCTCTGGCCCACCTCCCTTCAGTGCATAAAAGGAATGGTAGTGGTCACCTGTGACCAAATAGAAGGAAGGCCTGGACACAGCAAAGGGGAAAACACAAGGTGTTGTGGCCAGTGATTGGCACACCTAATGGGCTGCTTGGGGAACAGGGCAGCAGAAAATCTGGGCTGTTTGTTTCTCTCCACGAGGACAACAAAGACGGTGTTTTAAGTAGTGTGTTTTCCTTGTTGTTCAGTGTCAGTTGGAAATGGCCGTTTCCTAGCTATTTGATGTGCAAGTGAGTGTTGTGCAGGGCACATTAAAAGCAATAATGTTCTGTTAGAACATTGCTAAGAAACCATCAGGGGAAGCTAATTTTAAATGTCTGCGCCAGCCTTCTTGTCAGTGCTGAGCACCTATGATGTGTTGATTTTAACAGACATAAATGTTACCTGTCTTTACTCCGCTCAACCCCCACCCCCATTCCCGTCCTAGTTTAGCTCTTTCTTCTCCCTAAGTATCATGACTCACAAAGTCATATGTCTTCAAGGTTCTTGTGGTTAGAACCCCAAAGAAGTTCAAATTCGAATGCAGTCATATGATTGCTGTAATGGTGCTGTCTAAGGCATGAACGAATCCTAGAAGCTCCCCATTAGTTAGGAAGAAGTTAACCTCAGGCACAAAGTGTCATCTTTGAAATTCCACAGTTCCCCGTAGGGTGAGGACTTTTGGTCCCACATCTAGATACATTTCATTGGCCGCTGAACTGTCTCTTGAAGACTGTAGCCACTGGAACTGCACTTTAATGACAGGCAGGACCTTGGGGCTATTCTGTTGGTACCCTTGCTGTTTCTTCCCTGTCAAAACAAGAGTATAGCAGAGAAAAGGGGATAGCATGGCCCACGGCTGAGCTTCCTCCTGGGCACTCCTGCCTCTTTGCACCTGGGTCCCTGGTCCACTTGAACTAGCTTTCAGGCAGAATCTTATGCAGCCTTTCCGTGCATCCATCCCCAAGAGTCAGGAAGGCCGAGTGTGGAAGTGCTGGTATGGAACACACCGTTTTGAGCTGGCATCTGCAGCCAGCATCTCTGATGTTGAATTTGTGTGGTTGATACTGATGTACTTATTTGAAAATGACTATTCAGACTGCTCCGACTGTATCTGCCTAATAAGAGTTTGCTGAAAAATATCACCTAAGTGCTGATTTAGATTCTCTGATATGGGATACCGAGGCCTTATCTCGCATCAATTCTATTAACTGTGTTTATACTTAATTGTATCCTAGTACCTTAAGAAAACTATTCTTCTTGGGTGGAGAGAAAAAGCAAAGAAATCAACCAAAAAAAAAAAAGCATAACCAGAGCATGTAAGGTGCTGGACCAATCTTTCTGTGATGCTCAACCTGGCATTTTTTCTGATTTTGCTGCTTGCTGTTAAGTTAGGCCTTTTCCTCTCCAAAATCAAATGGATAAAAAGTTGAATCATTATAAAAATATGTTAATTATCAGCATACTCTAAAACAATGTTTGCTAGTTTAATTTTCAAAGAACGGCATCCAGAAATAAAGAGAAAGGAAGATAATTGGGTTTTATTGCTGCATCCTGCCAGATGGTAGATAGGTTGATACTAAACAGAGGTTTGTGAGCATCTTATCATAACGATATATTCTCCCTAATGTAAGAGCCCTTAGCACCTTTCATATGCCACATAATAGCTTCCTATGTGTTTCAACCATTATACGTGTGAGAGAAACATATCACAGACTGTAATAAAAACAAAATGTGTTTATGTAACAGATACATATGTATATACCCATACCATATGTATACATCACATGTGTATAGTCACACAGATTAGAAACTAAAATTCCATGAAAACAGTACTTTCCATGCTGCATATAGCATGGTGTTTCTCTGTTTCATTTATTTAAAAATAAACCACTGGTTGCCGTGTAAAAAATTCATTTTCTGATTGACTGGTTTCAAACTTATCTAGCTGATCTCAGTTCTTACCTAGATGAGTATCTTTCCACACTTACATTTTTGGTTGACGTTCCTGGCAAGGCCTTGCTAACGTCTCACAGGACATTATAGTTTTGTTCTGACTCTGCCATCCATGTTTCTGTTTTGTTCAAAAAAAGAAGTTCACTGTTGCTGCAGCTGTTTGACAGCTGTGTAACTGAAAACAGAGGTCAAAGCCAGAGGTCTGACACTTGGGGGAAATGGGCTATCAACTGCCACCTCATGGTTTACTTAGCCCTACTAGAGAACTGCCTGTAGAGAAACCTCCTTTCAAAGGGTGGTAGATGAGATGGATGCATCGGTCCAAAGTCTCTAAGGAGGCACATTATTTCATGCTACATGTTATCCCTTCATTTTGAGTTGGATTTTAGTGAGTTGTTAGTTAATACCTATCTTTCATTTCCACAAGGAATACCTAGAAAACCAGAATAGTTAAGTTATGGTTTATAGCCAGCCTTCTGATCTTATCTCCATGGTCTTGCAAAACTACTATCCAACTTAATAAAGGGGTTACATGCTCCTCCGCACAGTAATCAATTGATGACCAACACTCTCCTGTGTCAGAGCAATCCAGGCTGCAGGGTGTTCCAAGGTGTGACTTGTGTACCTTGAGCCTGATGGTTCTATGCTTCCTGTTCAGTCTCTAGATGGAGCCTACTGTTCACAGCCACTCACAGGATCTGAGTGGCGCAGTGTGTAGTTCATGTACTGAACATCAGCTGAGCTCTATATCTGTATGTAAAAGTGTAAAAAAAAAGTTATGATCTGTTCAGACGCTTTCTAAACCTCTACCTTTATTGTATAGGAAAAACAATATAGTGTAAGAATAAGCCCTTTAAGCAATTAGTCCACAAATCTGCTCATTATAGGCCTCACAAAAGTTATTTTATATGCACTGTCTGTATGTTGATAAAAGCATCACTGTCATAGTGGTATGGATTTGGCCTCTCCCAAACGATGCTCTTTTATGCGGATTAATGAATAATAAGATATGAGATAAGCTCTTAGTACAGTCAGACAATCCAGAAAGCAGCAAGTGGTGTTTTGTCTTTCTGCTGCCTGGACCATCTCTAGTTTCCCGACCTGTGCCTCGTTAGTATCATCCCCATCAGCCCATGCCATCCTAGTTCCTGCACACCAACACCTCTCAAGTAAGCACATAGAGCTTCTGTCAAATGTCCCTCCTTTACCAAGCTGACAGCTTTGTAAAGCCAGCCATCTTTTGCCACTCCGATCTTCCTCCATTGCTCTTTTGTGGAAGAGCAGCAGAAGGAGCCAAGGCCAACGCTGCCCGTGCTGCCACCTGAGCACTGTTCGGTTTCCTGTCTGCATCCACAAGACATAGAACACTTGTTCTTTTGGACCAGCAACCCGCAGACTGTAGTCCGTGGGCCAAATCTAGCACACTGTCACTTTAATAAAATTTTATTGGAATGTACCCACATTTACTCATTTACATGTTATCTACTGTTACTTTCTTGCCATAAAGGCATAGTCGTGAAATTCAGTAGTTCCTATAGAACTAATACATTTCTAAATTGATTGCCAAAGACTGACTTGACAAACCTAAAATGTTTATTATCTGACCCATTTATAGACAAAATTCGGCAGTCCCTGCTTTCAAGACTTATTTTGCTATCCCTTCAGCCTCATTACATTTATCCAAGCATAGGCTTCAGTGCCTATCAACTTTTAGCTCCACAAAGTATCTTTTAAATTATTTTATACATGTATATCCATGGTTACCAAAGAGCCTACATGTTTCACTGTTATAAAATGTAGCCATCTGAATGTTCTTTGACTTCAAAAAGAAATCCCAGAGACTAGTTCTTCCTTAACTTTAAAAAACACAGATCAGTGAATTAAGGTCAAAGGAACTAAAGGGACCCAGAAGCAGTCATGTCCAGCAGTTCTGATTCTGCTCGCTGGCCTAACAGTCAGTCATCTCAAGCTCACGCTGTCAGAGGAAGCTAGAATTCTCCAGAGCCCACCAAGCCCTTTATTTAGACTCAAGACTCACTCAGCACACTTCACTTTTCATTTCCTGACAACACAACACATTGCCAGATGGACACCCCAACTCATTTCCAAAGAATGCAATTATGAAATAAAACTCTTATCTGGCACTTGTATGTATGTTTATACGTATGCATTTATTCATTGGTCAAGAAGTTTGAAAAAATATTGTTACCATGTATTCTCTGTTTTGTGAGAAACTTCAATCCTATCAAAGACAGTGTGGCTTGTTTTAAACTCAAATGGAAACAGGACCCATTTGGTACAGTGCTGCTGAGCACATGGGGACTCACTTGTTTAGAGGATTTTTTTAAAAAAACATTAGGCAGAGCATGGTTTGGGAGGTTCATATTACATAAAATATGGCCTCTGAAGACCTACCTGAAAATACAAATTGTTTGCTGTTACGTATTCATCAATGACTGATTGCTACTGAACTTTGAATATGGCTCAGTATGGGATTAAAATATATAGTCTTAATCATCCTAGGAATCATAATTAAATTCTGAAATGAAATCATATAGCTTTCTAGCAACACTGTCAATCCTAAGCTTTCTGTTTTTCTTAAGATTTATTCGAGAGTCTGGCACTGCTTCCTCGGATGCCCATTCACCATGCTGTAACCCCAGCATTGCATACAGACTCCGGTTCAAATCCGTACCTCCCCACTTGCAATACAGCTCCCTGCTAATGCACCTGGGATAGCAGCAGCAGATCTCCTAAGTGCTTGCCCATGTGTTCTCATATGGGAGACTTACATGAAGTTCTAAGCTCCTGGCTTCAGCCTGGCTCAGCCGTGACCATTATGACCCATTTGGAGAACCAGAGAACAGAGCTTCTGTCTGTCTCTGCCCCCACCCCTATGACTTTCACATAATCTTTCCATTTAAATTTTCTTTTCATAATGAAATATTAAAGTGTTTAATTTGAATGATCTTCTATTTACTTATTCAAAAGCCAGGGAAAGAGACAGACACAGATTTCTCGTCAGCTGGTTCACTCCCAAATGACAACAATGGTTGAGCCTGGACCAACTGAAACCAGGAGCCTGGAATTCCATCTGGGTCTCCCAGAGGAATAGAGGGGCCCAAGAACTTGAACCATCTTCTATTGCCTTCCAGGAAAATTAGCAACAATTGACTCAGAAGTAGGTCAGCTGGGACTTGAACCAGTGTTCACAGGGGGTTCCTGTATTGCAGGTGGTGGCTTCACCTACTGAGCCACAATGCCTGTCCCAAACACCTGTCCTAGTTACATTCCAGAACAGAGTAGCAATCAAAGGGTAGTGTTCATGACTAAGATACTTACAATGTAGGACCCGTGGCCATGACCTAACTTACCAGTTCAGTACAAGCAGCATTAATCACATATCAGTGGTATCTAGATACAGTCTCCCATATTTGGAGATAGACAGGTGGGTGAGCAACATATGGTCCTGGTGTCCAGGAGCCAACCATCTTGTAGGGCAAGAATGTTGCTACCATGATGCAGGACTATCACATATCAAGATTAATAAGAGGCCCTTCCTAAAGCAATTGCAAAAAGTGATTCAGTTGGCACTTGAGCCTTCAAGGACAAGCTGATAGCCATCTCATCACTTTTTTGTGTCACTGGGTACAAATGTGCCCTGGGTGACACACGCAGCTGAGCTGCCGGTACCTGTTTTCCTCTCTGGACTCTGGCTTGAGGAACATCATGAATATCCAGACCTTGCATAGTGAAGGCGCAGTTTTTAGATTCCTAAGAAATGTCTAATTCATTTAAGAAAATTCAAACAGAACAAACGAAGGGAGAGGGGAAGGAAGGAAGAAAACTTTATATTTAGAAAGACTTTAAATGTACACTAGAAGGCTTGAACCCTGAATTTGAACTTCTGAAGTCTTTGTTTTGTAATTGTAGTTCCGAATCAGTAATTCCCAAACTGATTTAGAGAGATTTAGTTTTCTTGGATACACTGAGGTGGATGGTACTATGACACAATGTCTGCCAGCTCTGCTTTTATCTATCTAAAAACTGGAACTCCTTATAAGGTTGTCTTGGGAAGTATTCCACAGCTAAATTCAAACTGAAACCTGGAAATTGCCTTCCTGAGACATACGAGGTATGGCCAGAGGATTCTAAATTTCTGTACAATTAGGACTATTATCATACAACACTTCATCATAGAAATCTAATGTTCAACCAAATAGAAATACATACACATGTACGATTTTATAAAGCTAGGCCAGCTGGTCTTCACCCATTGAATCAAAAGGCTCCTGATATTGATTGGTTATGGGGAAAGAAGTTGAAAGCTGTTTCTTAGATCTGGCTTTGTGGCTTGTGTGTTGGTGTGTCTTAGTGCCTTCCCTTCATAAGTCTATTTTCTCAAATGCCCCCTGTCCCATCATGAACATACTCAGCATCTACCAAAAAGAATCCGTTCTCCCAAAAGAACAGCCTAGGCTCTAGGTACTGCTCTGCTTTGTTTTGGGGGCACACACTCTGGGCACACAAAGGCAACTACCATTTATGTTTCAACGCACTCTTTGTCAAATCAAGAAGGAAGAGATTTGGAGATTTCTAAACTTAAGCTTGCAACTGTTCTACAGTCAACTTAAAAAACGGTGCCAAATCAGTCAGATTCCTACTCTGCACCAGTGTCCATTCAGTCTAATGGATGAGCTCTATTTATTCTGTAAATGATAGCTCACAGATCGTGTTAACTGTTTTACACTGATTTGAAGTGTGTATAAAGGTTTGTGACTAGATGTGTCTTGGTTTTTTTTCTTTGCTTGTTTCTATTTTCCCCCCAGAAGGGACTATATTTCATCTCAGTGTTTGTTTGCTAAAAGGAAAAAGTTGGTATGAAACTGTACATTTATGCATGTTTTTAATTTCCTTTCTGATATCTCTGCCTCTTGCTCTCTTTCTGATTAAAGGAAGAAATACCCCTGGGAAGCCAATGAGAGAGGTCAGTGAGACTCAGGTTCATGGGCATGGCTTCTGTCTGTCTCATCCAGCTTTCTGTGTTCAGTGTTTATATAAGACCTGTGTGCGTGCACACGCATGTGTGTATTACAATTGTGTCATCCTCTAAGGACCCTAGTCACCTCTCTACTTGCACCTCTTGAGGAACTGTCCTCCAATTTTCCCCGCCCTTGTCCATCACCATGACGACAAGCCCGGGGTGGGGGGAGGAGGCACTCCTGCACTTCATCATCTATACCATTTGCAACACAGTCGTCAAAATAAATTTAGCCTTGACCATAATTGATGAGTCATCAAGCTTCCTTCCATTTCTAAGACCCTAGGATTATTTTGTCCGTGCCCCTGGTTTTTATTCTTCTAGGGTATCTTCATTTTGTTTTTGTTTTCCTTTTTCTGGGTTCCTATACTCTTTTGCCATTTTTGCTAACATATTTTAAGCATTTATTGTGTGCCAAGCACTGTTTGCAGCATTTACCATCTTTTTGCCATGTAATCTTCATGACAAGCTTATGAGGTAGGTATTATTCTTAACCAGATTTTACAGAAAAGGAAACAGGAATCAATGAGCAGGAAAGGAGTACACCCTGCTACATTAGAGTCAGGATTTGAAAATTCCACTTGGAGAGGCTTGTCTCTACTTCCCTTTGTAAGATTTTTAATAAAATTGACAATTTGGAGCCAAAGAGGCTAGTGAACAACCAAGTAAAAAGATTTGGAATGCTGGAATGGTCCAAATTTTTCTGAATTACTACTTATGGTTTGAAAGGGGTGGGGTGCAGTATTATCTACTATATTCTACCAGGAATCTTGTCTGATTATTGAATTATCTGACCAAGAGTTTAATGTGATAGAAGGGATAAGTTCTCGCATAGGATGGCAAGTGCATGTACTGTTTTGGGAGACAGGGTGAAAGAATATAGAGTTCTTCTAAGGAGATAACTCTTAACCCATTGCAATCTGACCACTAGAGTGGTCACTGATTCATTTAAACATAAGGAGTCATACTGGAGACTTCTGCCAACACTGAGACCATGCAAGATGAAGGATTTTAGTGATCCTTCAGGGCATCTATACCAGTTTTTTCTCCCCACATTTTGGGTTGTGGGGTCCCAGGGAGGAATTGGTAGGTAGCTGGAAATAGAAACTCAGGAAATCTGATCTGGTGAGCCATTGAATGCTCGTGACAATTGGCCTTACTCATGTACTTCCTGTATGAGGCCTCTTGTGTTCATTCCTGTGTAAATATCTCCCTTGAAATTGTTTTACTACTCAGAACATGTTTCACTTGTGTTAGAAAAATCACACAGACTTTAAAAAGTCATGTAGGCAGTTGGTGAATTCACTACCTGAGGTGGGTTACTGTCAGATAAGTTTCCAGAAGCCAGAGAATCAAAAACAAGAATGACTTTTTAAATTCTATACAAATCCTCCAAAGGCACAGTACACCAGATTCTTTGTCAAAGGTTAAATCACAGAGAAGACAAGTGCAACTTGCACTGCACTCTTCTTTGACCAAAGGAATCCTAACAACTTATTTAGGAGGGTTTTTTGTTTTGGTTTGGTTTGGTTTTCCAAAAGAGAGGAGCCAATGGGGAGGAAGGGAACACATCAGATTGTTACTGAGATCTTGCATTTTTGCCAGAAAGTCTCAGTTCAAATCACTATGGAAAACATCTCCCTCAGGCAGTGGTGGCATCTGAGACTATTATGTTGCTGTTAGTGCCAACTTGGAAAGACATTACAAGTGCCCCAGTGCTCAATGCATGGTGCCTTTGTGGTCAATAATCCTTGCTGAAAATGGATTAAATTAATACTTTCTATATATGCACTACAGTGTCAGCTTGTGCCCGAAGCTAATTGCAGATGCCTGAGTCCTGCCTACTTTCCAGGGCTTCTTACACTGATAGTTTAATTTTGACTGTAAAAACAATCTTTCCGGTAAAGTTCATGGCCTCAGTAATGCTGATCCTTACACACATGGGTAATAGAATCAGGACACTCTATATCCATGTCACAGGTGCAGTTTGCTGTTTCCAGTAGATTGAGGGTAATTCTTTATCCCTGTTTTATTTTGTGAAAAAGAAATTTTCTTCTAGACCTAACAAAAACTCCTGTTACAATTGTGTGTGTGTGGGGGGGCGGGGATAAGGATCAACAAGAAATCATTTGTAAAATTTAACAATCTCAACAGGTTCAAATCACCCAACATTTTGTACAAAAGGCTTGGTCTACTAAGAATGAACCAAGGTTCTGTTTTTAAATAGATTGCCTTGGGAGTTCAGCTTTTTGAGAGGTTCAAGATTTCTCCTTCCAGCTAGTAACTGGACACCATTTCTAGGAACACAAGTAACCCTGGCCCTATTATCTTTGAGTGTGTATGCTCACTTTAGTGTCGACTGAGCTGCAGTCCAGATCCCCTAACACACAGTCTTAAAGGGCACTTTTTGATCATCACAAAGCTAACAAAACAAATGAGCTGTCCCCTGCTTTATTTTATGATATATTTTCTAGCTACCAGGTGGACTATACTTTAGTGAGATATGGGGCATGAGAAAGTGTTAGGTTAGGGAGTGTCAGATTAGAAATTCTTGGGTTCTGTTTTTTACTGGTTTTCTTAATAGCTGTCAAGATGGCTAGCAATAAAAAAAAAATTGCAGTTAGTTCCTGCATTTTCAATTATGCATGAGTAATTGTGCAGATTTCCCGGGATTGCCAGGCAGTCAAAAATAGACACAAGGGAAGCTCTGCAACCCGGTGCGCTCGGTTCTGTGGATGGAGTCTGAGCTTTAAGGAGCAGCAGAGGACTCCCTGTGGCCTCCTGGGGAGTTTATAGCACAGAGAAGCCAGAGACGGATTCTGTTCTGCACTGAGAGCTGTCACGCTAGTGGCCCACTTCTTGAAGAACACATATGCTTTGTTCAGAGTTTCTCCATTTGCAGGCTCAACCAAAATGCAAAGTGATTTTTTTAAATGTAATTAATGCTCAGTGCAATTCCTGGCGCTAATTAATCTCAAAAAGATTTACAAACATGGCCACCTTAATGTAAATGCCTGAATAGTGTAAAATTGTTGAATCAGTCTTAAATTGATCTTGTGTCATCAGTGTTTAAGGTCCTGCCCCCAAATTCTCTTTAAACCCTCATATTTTTGTTGTGTGTGGAAATAAATATTAGAACAGAATGTGCACCCTAGCCTGCCTTTAATTTTTATTGAGATTTTAATAGTTACTATGGGAATGCATGAGGTTGATACATGGCAAGGTAGCAGTAGCCTAGTCAAGCATTTTCAGTTCCAAAGGCAATACTTGAATAATGGGAGTGAATTGCAATGTCCAGGAATTAAAATTAGCCATATGAAAAGGGGTGCCATCAAGCTCAGAGCACTTGCTGCTGTGTATCCAGGGACATTCATTGGCTTCCGTGTTGGGGTTTATTACTAGATCATGCCACATTATTGCAAAGGTATCCTGAGAGTTACCTAATCATTTACAAAGTAAGTCAAGATGGATTTATAGGAGACCCAAATGCATGCACTGCTTGTGGGTCATATTATAATTGGGCTCTAGAGTAATTTGGGAATTAACGTGATTTTTTTTCCTGAAATTTCCCAATTCAAATGGTCATGGTTCTGACAAGGGCAATTAAAGAATTTTCCAACCCCAACAATAGCAGAGAGAAAATAGTCACCATCACCATAGCTTCAGAAGTGCACCAATGGCTTGAAACAACCTTGACATGAAGGTTATCTATGGTAGCAACGGTAGCCACAATAACAGTGGTGATGGTGCTCAAGTGGAGGTGGCAGCAATATTGAGGTAATGGTGGGGAGAGTGGGGGTAGGTAGTAGTCACAGCAAGGTGGAAGAAGTATAACCCATCGTGAGATACCCCTGTTATGACAGGCATCTTATGCTTATAACCATTTTGTTATATTGTACCTACACTGGGATGAAAAGAGCACTTGAATATTTTTTCAATCAACTGACACCAGTAACCTGCCCAATATTAAACGATACTAACAACATGTAATGGCTTCATTAACAAGGCTTTGCTGCTTCTTGGCAACTGGAGGAAATCAAGCCGTGCTCTGTACATCCTCAATGCAGCTTCTGTATTGTCCTCACCCAGAAACACCAAGAAGCCGGGACCATAGCATTTGTACCCTTTGTAAAGACTTTCTCTTTGTTTTCCAGGACACAATGTAGGAAGCCTTTTCCACATGGCAGGAGATTTGGGCAGAGCAATGGAGTCCTTAGTCTCAGTCATGACAGATGAAGAAGGAGCAGAATAAATGTTTTACAACTCCCGATTCCCGCATGGTTTTTATAATATTCATACAACAAAGAGGATTAGACAGTAAGAGTTTACAAGAAATAAAATCTATATTTTTGTGAAGGGTAGTGGTACTATACTGTAGATTTCAGTAGTTTCTAAGTCTGTTATTGTTTTGTTAACAATGGCAGGTTTTACACGTCTATGCAATTGTACAAAAAAAGTTATAAGAAAACTACATGTAAAATCTTGATAGCTAAATAACTTGCCATTTCTTTATATGGAACGCATTTTGGGTTGTTTAAAAAATTTATAACAGTTATAAAGAAAGATTGTAAACTAAAGTGTGCTTTATAAAAAAAAAGTTGTTTATAAAAACCCCTAAAAACAAACGTATGTGCACACACAGACGCGCACACACACACACACACACACAATCTTTGAGGCAGTGTATTGTTTTGCATCCTTTTAGCGTGACATCCATATACAAAATTCATAGCTTTGTTTTTTTCTTGCATATTGAAGATAGGACTTTCTCTAACACCACCAACCAGCTAATCCACATTTTTTTTTAAGAATTACTGACTGAGGGGCTGGCTGCAGAGTTTCATTTGATACATCTGTATGTCTATAAGTATATAACTACTATAGGTATATAGATAAAAGAGGAATTTCTCTGGGCTTTTCAAATTTAACTGTTCCTGTTGCTTCCTAATGGAAAGAGATTGCTTCTAGTCACCCAGGCTTACCTGCCTGGTCTACAGTGAATTTTCCGGAAGCCTGAAGCCAGCACAAGACTACCACATTCTAACATCGTCTGGGCCTCCAGATGGCCCTCCTTTTAAACTTGCCACCTACTAGAAAACTAAACTGTTTTTAAAAAGGAACATGCGAATGACTACACATGTTCTTATATTAGAATAATCCCTTGGTTGCTCTATTCCACTTCCTGCAGCCTGCAATGCCAGGATTTCCACTTGCTGATGCCTCAGTGGAAGACAGAGCATCCAAGCAGAAGGCAAAACTTAGGCTCCCAGGCAGTAGGTTGATGGTAGGGCCAAAGGGCTTGGGATTCTCAGCTGATTCCTGTGAGAGCAATCCTTGACAAAGGATTGACTGAATATTCATAACCATGCATCTAGATCAGTACAATCACAATTGCATTAGTCTGCCCTCTTCTCAGTCCAATGAAAGTGAGTGATTTTGTTGTGGTTTGGGGTTTTTTCCCCTGTTGTGATTTATTTTTCTTTCTTTCCTAATGCTACATAAATTGCTTTAAAATAATCCTTCAGAAATCATTTAAGACAGTAAGCCTGTCACATTATACTACTGGCTAAATAGCAACCCAACTGTGTATCCCTCTTTTGCTTTTGTCTGCAAGGAATTCCCCCCAAGTGGGAAGGCAAACCAAAAGCTACTGCACACCATTCTCTGGTGAATTAGGTAGGTTAAACATATGAATAAGCAAAACTTGTTTAAAAACAGCAGGAAAAAGAAGAGAGGAAAAGCTAAGGACTGCTAGGGGGGAAAAAAAGCTTTAACTCTTTGTCATTTTATTACTCTTAGATTTTTTTAAATTCATTCATTTAATAGAAGTCACCCTATGACTTATTATTTTACAAATCTGTTACCTCTGACATCAAGTGTAATTAACTTTTGGAGAGTGAGTCTGTCCATTATTTTATTAATGATAATTAACATCAAACACAGCTTCTCATGCTATTTCTACCTCACTTTGGTTTTGGGGTGTTCCTGATACTTGCGCACCCCTGATTTCACAGCTTCACCACTTGTCTATTGTATGAGCATCTTTCTCCATTTTCTCGAATTTCAAAAAAAAAAACAAAAAAAAAAAACAAAAAAAACCCCAAAGCTCTAAAGTAACACACATGCAGATTTGGCTTTAGTCTAGCATTTCTTCTTCTTGTGACGCTGGACTTTTTCTCAAGGCAGTGATTTTTTAACCAAGATTTGAAACAAGGGGTTATGTTCTATCCTACTAAGAAGTTTGAGTTTCATTCTGGAAATCAGAGGTAAATAGAATGCATAATCTTGTTTTAATCTTCTTGTTTTTGTTTTATCTTTAAGACACTAGCTCTGGGGTGAGTCTGTCAAAATATTTGAATTAAAAATTGAGAGCTTTATTGCTGCATTTTAAGCATAATTTGGACATTCTGTCGTGTTCTTTATAACCACCGAGTGTTAAACTGTAATTCATAATCAATGTAACTGAAGCATAAACATCACAAGGCATGTTATGTCATTGTTTTCAGGTACCAAGTTCTTACTTGAGTATCATATTGTGTTAACAGCAACACTGTAACATTTACTAATTATTTTTTTAAACTTCAGTTTTATTGCATTTTCACAACATATCAGACTTCACCAAATATATGCCTTACTATTGTATTATATTACTGCTTTACTGTGTATCTCAATAAAGCACGCAGTTATGTTACAAAAAGTGTGGATGGGACTGGAGTGTTTTGTTTTCATTTCGATTTGGTTATTTTTAAATTTTATGGTATGTAATAATGTGATTGGAACATGAAAACCTAGAAAGACAGTGAAAAGACGCCTGCTCTTTGAAAGGCTGCCCCACATGATCTGAACTGAGTAAAAAATATTCTGTGTGTATTCTTCAAAAGTGGTGCATTATATAAACAATTAAAATATATCTTCCAGGTTTTTCCTTTTCTTTCATGAAGATAGCTTTCTTTGGCCCCAGTTACACACCTGAACTTTTTCTTTTACACTGAAGAATTAACTCAGGATATCTGTGTCAGTATACAGAATGCTTTCTTTCTAATAGCTGTATACTATTCCAGGCTATGGTGGTAAGATATTTAAGCGATTCCCTTTTTGGGATATGTAATTTGGTTTGGGGGTTTTGCTATAGCAGTATTTCACACAAGTCATTTCACTGCGTACGAACCTAAGTGTGGACCACATTCCTGCAAGTGAGGGATGTTGGATCTAACGAGATAAGCGTTTGTACCTTGGGAGATAATTTTGTGCAGTGGGAGTCACAATCACTGTACTAGTTTATTTTGCTCTAATATTAGAAAGTATATGCATTACACTACCCTACAATTTACACTGCCTCTCAAAAGGATTTCTTACCACTTCTTATTGTTAGCAGTACCTGTCTCCAGTAGAATGTGTGATAGAGACAGCTAAAACATTGCCAGGAAGCCTCACACACAACCATGATTACCGCAAGCACAGGTTCCCTCTCTCCTTTGCAACTCCGATGCCCCTTTTAACTAGCTTAAAAGGAGGCTGGAAAAGTGAGGAACCACATCAGCTCCTTGAGAGAGACTGTGTTGCCTCCACCAAGTTTCATGTTGCCCTCATAGGGTTAGACAACTGAAGGGTCCAAGGAATAACAGAAGTCCACTAGCTGCAGCCCATGCTAGAGACTGCAGGTGCACTCATGAGATGCTCAGGCTCATTAAGAACTACATCAGCTGGTGCAGCATGACCACTTAGTCATTTGGGGGGTGGTGACAACAATCTGAAGAGTGCCCTAAAAGTCTGCCGTTGAACTCCATATAAACCAAGAATTGTTTAAAAAAAAAAAAAGAACTATCACATATCATCCATAACATTGCCCAAACCTACCTGTGACTGAAACACCCAAACTGCCTGTTCCAATGGCACTTAAACTAGGCAACATTATCTTGTATCTAAGACAACTGTGTGTGCGACTCCAATGAGGGCATTTGGCTCTCCTTTCCACATTTGGCACATGCTAGAGGGGACAGAACTAACTAAAAAATTAAAAGGCTCAAGCTGGTGCAGACTGTGCAAAAAGAGCAAAATGTGGGTTTGGGAGCAGGGCGGAGGGGGGAGTACCATGACGAATGGACTTCCCTGAACGTGTAATGTTCCAAAGGTGGAATGAATACAAAGGCAGGCAGTAACACACTTGCCAAGACTTTGCCTTCAAATTAAGTTTAGAAGGACATGAATCAAATTATTTCCAATAGTAAGGAAACCACTGAAGTAGGAACCATCAACACTTTCCTCATTGCCACTGAATATTCTGTGATCCCATGTACTCTAGGCTCAAATTTAGCTCTTCCCTGACTTTGAAAGAATGGAAACAAAACAACATAAAAATACACAAGAAATCCTTATATACTATGCCAAGATTAACCAGCTGTTTGTTACTTGTCTGGCTTATCCCTGGACAGATAATAACTTTGGTTTTTTTTTTCAGAACCATTTTGAGATTAACTTGCACATATGATATCCCTTTACACTTACATACTTCATGTATGTTTCTTAAGAAATTAGCACATCCTCTCATATGACCACAGGATAACTACTTAAATTGTCTTTTGTGGCATTTCATTTAAGGGGATGTACAATAATTATGTAATGGAGACTATCATATCCAGATGTGAAGATACAATGCAGTATTGCATCTCTACTTCCAGATCAATGATGGACTCCCAGTGAAACCGTTAACTGTATCTTGACAATGGGATGCTGAGCTCTCTGCCATTGTCCATGCCTGCAGTGATGGACATATGACTGTGTATGAAGAACTATACTACAGTAATAGTATAGGGGAACTCAGTGGGGGGAAGAGGGAAGTTGAGGAGGGAGTAAGTGAAATCCCAGAGCCTTTTGGAAGTGTATCATAAAATAATAATAATAAAGAAGTAAATTTTTTTTAAAAAATTCAATACTATGCAAAACTGCCACCTGCACTCCAGACCAAATCCAGATGTCGTCAATTGTGCTAATGGTATCTTTTCTTGTTAGTATTTCTCTGGTCTAGCATCTCATTCACAATTTCATGACGTTCAGTTGTCATGTCTAATCTCTGACCTATAATGATTTCTGCTTTTCAGATTCAAAAATTGTCACTTTTAAGGAGTACAAGCCAGTTACCTTGTAGCATGTACCGCAGTTTGGAAAAAGTCTGACACGTACAAATGATTTCATTGGATTCAGAGCATGCAATTTTGTCAAGAAAACAATATAAGTACCAATATGTTCTTACCATCTGATGCTGGGATATGCCTGGGGATGATCTAGCCCACTTGTCACTCAGTTAAGGTGGTTTCTGCCGGATTTCTTCTGATGATATACATTTTAAAACCCAAATTTTCTGAAATCATCAGGTTCACTCCCAGAATCTTAACTTTATATGTATAAATGTAGACCACTTATATGAAGTAAGAAGTCATTTTTAGTATGAACCAACTCATTCAAGTTGAACCTTCTGGATGATCTGCTAAACTACATCTACACACATAACCTATGCTTTATCCTCAGTTCTTGTCTCAGGTCTGATGGGGAAGACTTTCGGTGCCAACCAACAGAACCTCCCTAGTCTCTAACTCACATAAACGTTAACTGGTTACACTCACATTTCAAATTGTCTGAAGCATTTCCATACCATTTGCATTGTATGAACTGACCTCAGTTTTACACTATTCATTTTCAAATCACATATATGAAATCAGGCATTTTTGCTTGGAACCTAAATCCATCTAATGTACTGGCATGAGACATCTTCCAAGAGAAAACAGAAAATGTGCATCATGGAAAAAAATTAAGCAGAGATTTTAACAAAATTTTTGCACCAAAATAATCTTTTTAATTTATTTTTTCCCACAACTATTCCCTTGTGGACCAAACTGCTACAAACATTTTAACTAAACACACATTATTCCCAAGTTCAACATCAAACTATTAAAACCACTGGTTAAGTTTATGCTACTTTTTTTTTTTGCTTCAGCCTTAAACTTTCTAGGTTTTCAAGTCTCATTGCTAAAGCCCAACTCAGTGTTTTACTCCCAATGTGTCCCACCAGCACTGAAGTCTTCTAATCTCACCACCTTAGGAGTGGCCAGATGAAACCTCTCACTCTCAGCCTCCTCCGTTTACCCAAGGATACCTTATAGATAATCAGCAATTTCTTTGTAGGACATGGCATGAAAACAATTGGCCAACACTGCACTAAAAGAATACTTTGACCATCACAAGAATTGAAATTACTGATTCAACAGTCTCTGCCCATATTACAACTAAACACCCTAGACATTTAGCATTAACTTCATTACTTGGTAATATCTGAGAAGAAAGAACAGTTTTATCTTGACTTACAGTTTGGAGATCACAGTTCAGGACATGATGGCCCCATGAGCTTGTGTCTGGCAGAGGGTAGTAGAAGCTGGCATTGGCACAGAGGGTGTACAGGGATGATCATACAATGAACTGGAAGAGAGACAACAGTCAGCAACTTGGGCTAGGATCATAAACCCTGTGCTGAGAGTCATCTCTAGGGGCACAACGCCACACTCTCCCACCAGATCCACCTTGAACACAAGCCTTTGCCGTGAAGTCATCAACCTTTACAAAGGCTTCAGAATTTAAACATCTGTCTGAGTCTCAGGAAGACAAAACCTGCTCTACCCATCATGCATGTTGACAATTTTACCAGCTAGACACTTTTGACTGCACAGGTCATACCATGTGTGTCTATGTTCTGTTAATCAATGTGGGTAGCTGCAAGACCCTTACTGGGGCCCCAAAAGCCCCCTGTTGGATTGCACCATAGGAGTTTACTCCCACTGTCTTTGATATTATTAATAGCACTCTTTCCCCCTAAAAATGGCCTGCTTTGGCATGGCAGTTAAGCATCCCATACTGAAATTCTTGGATCAAGTCCCATGCCTAATCCCTGCCAGTTTGCATCCTGGAATGTAGCTGACAATGGCTCAAGCACTTGCACCCATGCCATTCACACATGAGATCTAGATTGAGTTTCAGACTCCTGCATTTAGTTTGATCCAGCCCTGCTGTTTCTGACACCTGGGAAGTCAGCTAGGAGAGATCGTTCTTTGACTCCTTCTCTCCCTCTCTGTGCATCAAAATATAAAGTAAAAAAAATGCCCTGATTAATAAGTACCTAACTTTCTATCACATTCTTTCTTATTAGCAGTGCTACTGATACTTATGGTAAGGCAGTTTTTCACTATGCACAATATTCCTTTACTTTGTAGATCTCCTAGTCATCGTGAAGACAAAACCATCTCAGTTCATCTGCAAACATTCCAAGGAAGCTGTAGAAATTACTGATCTCTTTACTGTCCAATACAGGCTGTATTTTTTTCAAAGCCCTGCTGATTAGTAGGCTGCAACACTTGGCAGTAATTTAATGGCACTGTTCTTGCATACCTTTTCTTTGTTGTCTATCCCTATAGTTACTCTCCCAAAGGATTTTAATGATGCTATACTAGCTGCAGGTATTAACCATCAGACAAAAGCCAGCAAGAGTGGAGAAAGCAGCTACCTGCAGCTAATGTACATTGTCAAGAGCAATATCCAACCTCTTAATGTTATTGCGGCTTGCTGCTGATACTATGGCACCCATGTCTTAGCCCTCTTCAGAGCCAGCACATCCATACCCTGGTTGCTGGGAAAACTTGTCAATGATGGCTT